AGCTCATGTTATATATATATATATATATATATATATATATACATGTTATATATACACCCTACTTCAAAACTGACCAACCATCCGGGTTTTCCACCACAACTTTACTCTTATTGAATGGCTTTCTAGACAAACCCCTCACAGTCTTGCTTCTCCTTAAGTGTCAACATCCATGTTTTCCACCACAACTTTACTCTTATTGAATGGCTTTCTAGACAAACCCCTCACAGTCTTGCTTCTCCTTAGTGCAGTGTCAACAACCAATTACTGGGCACAATTTCGGGGTTGCGATCTTAGCCTTCCTGTAGTTGGTTAGGTTATTGTGTTTAGCGTGGTTTTAACTGAACTGACACTTAACCCGAGTGTAGAATAAAACTGACGCTCACATTCGGAATATTGTCTTCTCAACCTTGTATATCTGTATACACCGGGAGTCAAACCTTAGCCTTAACCCTACTACTATGTACGGACTTCACATGCGGATACGGCAGGCGTTCACCCCCCGTGAAATTTCCGTTCAATTGGCGAGGTGGAGGACAATTGTTTCACCCGTATTGGAGCTCATCGGCTTTGCGTCTGCCCGTGTTCCAGTCATGAGGCAACCCAAGCACTCAGTCCAGTAAGCTACCAAGGCAAGCCGGCTAGCCCTAAAGGCGATGCTGGGATCCTCATCAAATGCAGAACGCTTTCTACTTCTCGACCAGTTATGTTTGGCTAAAAATTTCACCTCCTTCCCTGCATAAGGGTGACATTGTCTACAAGCCATTCACATAGGGTTCAATCACGGATGCTTATCTAAGAGCGGTAGGTGTCAACAAGCCGTTGTAACTCCTGTAACTAAGAGATCTATACAAGGCATCATTGTGTTGTAGGGATTGCATAATATTTGACATTCCCTGAGCTCACTTCGTAAAATGTTGGATTTAAGGTCGGATTTGTATCTTTGAGACTAAAGCCCAAAACGCGCTCTTTAGTTGTGATCTTCTATGTGAATCAGACACGATTCTTCATAGGTTTGCTTTAGTTCCTGCCTCGTTTTTTGGTGGATCTGGCAGAAATGAGTTTCATACAGTTTTAATCGCTGTTTGCGGTAAGGGTTTATATCGTTTCATTTATGGAGATACTGAGACGAACAAACCGCACCCGTCATATCGTCACTTTGATAAAACTCTTAACTACTGGGTTGGACGGATGGTGAAATTATCTGCATTCTTTGCTGTGGGAAAGGTGACGGGCTACGTCACCGGTCTTATGACGTCCCTGAGTGGCTTATTTCAGAGAATTCACCATGATTTTTCGATGTTATTCGGAAATTTGAACGCGAGTCTGATGTAGTTCCCTCCAGCCGGTAATACTCTACCCCTTTGGTCATTCTTTGTATACGCCTTTGTCGCACGATTGTCTTCCCCTTCCAAGGCCACTTGAGGTTGACGATTGAAAGCGTCTTTTATGGTAAGGACTCAGCCGTTGAAAGGGGATTCAAGAAACTAGCCAAAGAAATCTCTTCTAAGGGCTGATGTTTGCAGAAGAAAATCCACAATTCAGATAGTTCAGTTTTTTAGTTTCAACTCCGATGTAAAATTCTGTACTGACCACGTATTCGGTGCCTATCAATCTCTTTTCCAATGATTATTTATTCAGTCTCCTTCAGAGGTCAACTTCTTATCGAGTCTGGACCGTTAACTCCTAATCTTACAAGTCCTTTGCCCGATGGTGACTGGGTCTCTCCCCCGTCAGCCCAGCTGATCGCACAATCAGCGTTGTTTCCCGGCAGTGAGGATCGTTTTTCACTGAACTCACAGACAAACGGAAATATATCTCGTTGGTTTACTCTTCCGGTTGACCCCAAAACAGGCCTTTTTGGATCCCTTCTTCCGACAGGTGGGTGCAGCATTTGTTTCTGCGTTTTCCACAGCTCCCGCGTGTCCCCTAAATAAGATAATATCGAAATGAACATCAGGCAATAGTCAAAGATTCGGCAATGACAGGGCATGTACTCGACAGTGAGTACATGATAAATTTGGAAAACACGAATATTTTGACACGGGGACTAGTTATCACACCACAGTGACTGGTGACTGAGGAAGTGGAAATCGCCAAGCATCCCAGCGTGAATAGAATAAGGGATGTAGAACTGGTAAGCATGTGGAGAGCGTTTTAGATAATGCTGAGATGGTATGAGGCGGTGCAGGTA